GTAGTAAGAGGAAGAGCAATAAAATCTGCAGCTATCTTTAAAAAGAAAGGTTCTACGTTGTCCGGGCCAGCCGGTTTCTTAGGATCTAGCTTAGATAAGGCTTCATGAACAACATTGACAGTAAAAGGAGTAAAACTGAAAGGGTTTTCCAGACCACATTGTTCAGAGTCACGGATTGGGGTGTTCACAGAAGCAGAGTTAGTCACAGAATCAAACATAGAACCGCAGGACACAAAATGCTCATTAAAGCAATTTAACATAGTGGCCCTGTCCGATATAGTGCCAGATGCTGTGGTAAGGCACGGAGGTAGCTCATTACGGATCTCACCGGTGGATATCGATTTTATTGCTTTCCAAAATTTCCTAGGATTATTTAGGTTTTCTGTGGTAACTGACAAATAGTACTTCGACTTTGCACTTTTGACATTTGAAGTGAAGCTATTCCTTAGCTGCCTAAAACGCAGCCACTCTACCTCTGAGCCTGATTGCCTAGCCTTTGCCCAGGCCTTGTTTCTCTCATGAAGGAGACTAGACAGCTCAGCAGAAAACCAAGGATTGTCTCGTCCCTTTACTCTAAATGTACGCAGGGGTGCATATCTATCAATGATCTCCATAAAGTCAAGATAAAAATAAGACCATGCGGTTTCCACATCAGCACACAGATCGATTTTACCCCAATCAAAATCAAACAGATCATGCACAAAACCCTGCTCCATAAAATGTTTTTTGTCTCTCTTAATGATAATGCGAGGTTTAACCTTTTGGACCTTAGTGTCCCTAATTGTGGCTACAACACAGTGATCGCTCAGATCATTTGCAAATACTCCCACAGATGAATATTTATGGGGAACATTAGTTAAAATGAGATCAATTAGGGAGGATTTATTAGGGGACTTAATATTTGGGCGAGTAGGACTGTCAACAATCTGAGTAACATTCAAAGAGATACAAAGGTTTTTAAAATCCTCTGACACTGCAGTTAACCAGTCCCAGTTAAAATCTCCAAGTAGCACTATTTCCTTGTAGTCTAGTTGTGATAAAAGATTTGCTAGTGAAGACAAGGAGTCTTTGACAGCTGAGGGGGGTCTGTAACAACTCACTACCATGACCTGTTGACCCTTTGCCACTTCTATATTTATGGCTAAAAATTCAAATTGCTTACTGATCGATTTGGAAAATAATGTGGTTACACTGAACTTATTCTTAACATAAATGGCAACGCCATCCCCTTTATTAGGCCGGTCGGTACGATACACATTAAAACCATTTAAGGCAATGTCAGAGGCCAAAATAGATTTGTTTAGCCATGTTTCTGATAAGACAATGACGTCAGCGTCAGTCGATTTTGCCCAGATACGGACAAAATCTAGTTTACCTAACAGACTGCGCACATTCAAGTGGATGAAACCCAACCCAGACCTAGCTTTAAAATCAGCAGGAGTAGCGATCTGACTACTACTACTGGGCGGACCAGGGTTAGGTTGTAAATTTCCTGACAGTAATAACAACAACAAAAACAGGCATCTTTTCCTCTTAAACGACACAAATATATTGTCATCTAATTTAGAAACACCGGAAAAGTCTGCGAGAGTGTGATTAGAGCTTAAGAAGCAGTCCTGAAGAACCATCATCGCAGGAAAATAAAAAAGACAAACATATTTTGTCGAGCAGATTGTCTGTGACAAGGCAACCGGTAATTGTTTGAGCAACACATCCGAACCTTTGCAGGGGATGCCCACTGCGAGTGGCAGAACAGACCTGAATCCAGTAGTCTTCTCAGAATGACTAGAGATCTTCTCATAGTCCAAAACAGTTAACAGGCACAGCAGAATCCCGATATGGGCCATTTTCCCAGACCAGCACACAGTATCCGCGATGTTCCTGGAGCAAAATCAGCACAGCAGCAAAGGACAGGCGAAAACAGCAGCGTGGAAGCGCTCCGGTCCCTCCGTGGTATCCCCAGGGTGAAAGCAGGCCTCTGCAACAGCAGAACCAGGCCTGCTCGCGACGAGCAGGCCTCCGTAAATCGCAGATCGCATGCAGCAACAGGTGGAGCCGCTCTGTCTCTTCGCGACGTCTCCGGAGGAAAAACACCTCAGTACAGCCGCACTCGACAGGTGGGAGTAGGCCTCCACAGTTCGCAGACAACTAAAACTACTACTTGTATAAGCAGGGATGGCTAAAAGTTTGTAAGCAGGAGAGCTAGATGCTGCTAGAAGCTAACAGATGCTAACAGATGCCAACAGGTAAGTGCGAGCCTGTAGAAATTGCGACTGCCTCCAATGACAGCGTAGGTGTGAGTATATTTTAAGATCATGTTTAATCATCTGATTCGTCTGTACATTGCTGTTTTAGTCTGTGTTCTTCTAATTAGTGTCTACAGTGTGTGCCTATTGAGCTGTTTAGAGCCATGTGGGACAAAACCCGATCCTGCCCCTCCCTCTCTCTGTCTAAGTGAATGGTGACTGTAAAAACTACACTGCGCATGCTCAGAATATGTTCCTATTTAATGTGTGTGGCAAAAAAATAATGACCATAGGGGCATAGAGCTGCCATCCCCATCATACGTCATCTCACATCATTCAGAACTGATTGGCTGTAATTACGTGTGCCGCGAAAAGTGTGGTGTGTGTGAAGAGGAGACGAGAGAGCTGCAGTGAGGCGTCCTAAAACCCGGAAGTAAGCTGCGCATGGCTTCCCTCGACAAAAAAGCAATGAGATTTCTCCGTAGGATTTTGGAAAATAGCTCCAAATAAGATCTGTGGGAAACGTAGCTGTTAGATAAATGCACGTTTTGTTCAGCCGGATAATATCCACATGTCTACCCTACTTTTATAATTTTCGAATCATAAATCTATTGATAAGATTAGATTTATGATAGACTTTTGAAACTACAAGAACATAAGGATGACTTTTACAAAAAAGTAATAGAGATTTTTGTCCAGAAGGATAGGCAAATGGACTTCATCTTCAAGTCAAGGTAAGACTGCAATTTTATTGAAAATGGGATCTTATACTAAGAGAGAACAATTCAATATTTAAATGATAAAATTACATTTTTTGGGTATCCTTTTGTTGAACTGTCTGTTTAAAATTAATTGAAGCATCAGACAAAAAAAGCTTTTGAAAATAATATTATATTTTGATTTAGGTCAAAATATAATATTTGTAAACCTGAAGAGTCAGTGCCAGTGCCTCACCAGCCATGAACCTCACTGCAGAAGCTATAGACATCTAAGTTTTTTGTGCCCCACCACTTTTGTACATATAGAAACGCCACTGGTTACTATGTTTAGATCAGATATGTGGGCAGGCAGTCAAGCAACGTGTAAACGTGACTGGCAAGGGCTGTTCCATGCTCTGCTCAACCTCCCGCCTTCCCAATGGACTCAGTAGCGCCCCCTGCTGCCGTGGAGCATGTGTGAGTGAGCATGTGTGAGTGTGTATGAGCCAGCCACGGCGGAATATTACTGCCAAAAGTCACGTGAGTGAGTCACGTGACTTTTGGCAGTAATTTTATACTAATAAAGGACTGGCTTACCTAAAGCCAATGGAGTAGCACTTGAAATGTTTGGCTCTATGAAACCTGATGTACTTATATGATTCTGTTTTCTTCAAGGTTGTGTCTTCCTGGTCGAATGTACTTATTGTAAGTCGCTTTGGATAAAAGCGTCAGCTAAATGCAATGTAATGTAATGTAATGTAATATTCTGCCGTGAGAAGAAAAAGTTTTGAACTTGTAAAAAAAAGTTGTGTACTTGTAAAACCAATGCTGAAGTTGTCTCTGAAACATGATTTATTAGAAAAATGTTATGTGTTTGTTTGATAGATACGTTGTTTCTTTGCAAAACTAAATGCATCAGTTTGTAGATGGTGTTTTGTATTTGCAAACCACATTGTGTTTGTTAGTGAATCATGAGGCATTTGTAAAACCTGTTTAGTTTGTTTGTGGAGTTATGGCAGGAAATTATATCCACAGTTTTCAGTCTGCTGATAGAAGACATGTGGGCATACAAATATTCAAACCGGAACTATGTACACACCCTGTTCGCACATACGGTTTCTTTGTGGAGTTATGGCAGGACCTTTGCTGCATAGGGGTGCCCAGTGAGCAGAAATCCTTAAAGGAACAGTAACTTGTAATTTGTCATACTACTTTTATTTATTATATTTTTAAAGGATATCATTGACCAATTTTAAACTTGTATCTTTTAATGAAATAACTTTTTAATGACGTTATGCTTACTATGTTTTAATGTGGGTTACATTAATATTGCAGGTATTATAGCAACTATAACACTGCGTTTGCTTACAAATTCAACATCAAAGAGTGAAATCACTACCACTCTGTTTCACGCCTTTGAATGTCATCTTCAACATTGTAACAGTGGTCAAGCCTTATTGGTATTGGCTTTTAGGCCTATCGGCCTAGACAAAATGATGGATTTAAGATGATAACATAAGTACTGTTGTCCATAATATAGTGCTACAGGGCTGTTACATTACCAGTGCAAGTACAAATGTTTTCTACCTGAAGTAATATCAAGGATATCATTTGACAAAACATTTGAAATGTGAATAAAGAATGGGGGAACCGGCAGTCCCTCCCACAAATGTGCTTTACAAGCCACCTTCATCTATACTAAAATCAGTTTGGGACAATTGTCAATTCAATAAGAACAATTAAGGGTTGTTAGTTGTGTCCCTATCAGTAATAACTAAGGGACACAACTCCATTGTATAAAACACATACCAGACTAGTAACTCTAAATCCAGTTTTAACTGAGTGGGGCAGGGCTTATCAAAACAATCAATTATGAGTTTGTTGTCTAAATAAATGTGACTAAAATAATCTATATGCAGAACACCATCTATTTAAATGCAATTCAACACAGATTTACAAGAAAAATAAGTGCTTTGTAATGCGTAGGGTTTTGAAATTCAACCTAAAATTGACATTTTAATTAAATTAAGATCATAGCTGCTGAATAAAACATTACCTTCTCACCTTTCCACAGCGAGTCGGGGCTGGATGTCTCTTCCTGGATGTCAGCAGAGCAACTGTGGCTGGCATTTGAGGCTACAACTCATATTTGAATGCTGTCACATAGAAAACCCTCCAAGCCAAATGATATAAACCAGTGTAAGCTCTGAAGCACTTTTATACTAATAAAGGACTGGCTTATCTAAAGCCAGTGGAGTAGCACTTGAAATGTTTGGCTCTATGAAACCTGATGTACTTATATGATTCTGTTTTCTTCAAGGTTGTGTCTTCCTGGTCGAATGTACTTATTGTAAGTCGCTTTGGACAAAAGCGTCAGCTAAATGCAATGTAATGTAAAAAGTGCAGACACCCTATTGGCCACCCCAAACACCCTCACCATGGGGGCCCAAACTATTTTAGAACATTAGAAAAAAATGTTTAAGAAACCTTTCATCAATCATCAAGAATTAACATTAATAGAATATTATATTGATAATGTACTCACTAAACTTTCTTTTCATTTAACTTATTTTCTTCCAAAAGTTAATTATCCAAAGCCTCTGTGCACCCCCTTCTATTTACATGTAATGGTTTGGTCCCGCCTCCGCCTCCAAACAGCACTTTCTAACAGAGAGTGACAACGGATGCTACTAGTACTTACGTGTGTTGTGTACCATGTCTCAACGACTAACAAAGTCAGGCTTTCAAAAAGAAAAGAAAGGAGAGAAAGAAAAGAGAGAGGGATTAAAGGGCGACAGTATGTCACCCAGTCTTTCAAGAGAAAATGTGGGTGTGGTCCATGAGTGGTGGAAATTAGTCTGTCAGCTCAGTGTTTTTCAAACACCGGGGGGCCGCCAGGGGGGTCTCGCAAAAATTGAGGGAAAGGGGAATTATAATTTTTTAGATGTTATTAATAACTGCATATCTAGCAATCTATGTGTCCTTTGATGCCAATCTATTAATATTTATTTATTAAAAAACATTTTTAATTTTTTTTTTAAATCACACGACCGCCCTTCAAGCCAATCAGAATCAAGCTGCTGCTACTGAGAGTGAAACTGAGTATCTGCTCAGCTTTTGGAGCAAGTGAGAGCTAGTGAATATTTCGCTCTGCAGCTGGATGAAAGCACGGATGTAGCAAATATTGTTGTTTATATATATGAATATAAATATGTTTATTGTTAATATTACTGTTGAATATTATATATAATATTATTAAGGCATAAGTAGCTTTCAAAAATGCTAAAAATATATGTTAATTGTTCATATTACTGTTCAAAATTATATAATATTATAAAGACAGAAATCACTTTTAAAATGCTTTAAAAATATGTTTACTGTAGATATTACTGTTTAACATTGTGTTAAGAATGTTTATAACAGAAGACACAATGAATGTAATGAATGACAAACAAAAGCTAAAAAAAAAATGTTTAGAAGAATAACTGATTATTAATTATTAATACAAATATATATTAAGAAAATGTATTGAGCTGTATGATTAATTTGTCATATTTTCCATCATAATGTACTCATCATTTAAAAAAAAAATTGCAACAGGGGGGTCCACGCCAGAGGATAATGCTATATGGGGGTCCTTGGCATGGCAAAGTTTGGGAACCCCTGTGTTAGCTAACCATAGTCCATTGTAAATAATAATTTGTATGTTGTTTTTTTTACTAAGCTGACATTTAGTACTGTTAATAATAATAATAATAATAAAGAAAATGCAGAGGTTTTTAATTTCACTGCTCTTTTAACTGACATTTAATAAATGCAGGTGCGTTTTTAGCAGCTATTCATACTAAATCAGTTGTCCCTCCCCCTGGTGCCAAGACCAACAGATCCAGTGTTTCCCCTACCATTGTCTTGGAGGGGCGCTGCGCCCCGCCAACGGAGCCCCACGCCCCCCCTGAAATTCAAGGTGTTTAAAAAATATATATATATAGCACCAAATTGCCTATTGTCTACTGTCACTTTTTGCTAACTTGTGCTCTCTTATTAAATAAACTAAACGCTTTCATTTTAAGTTGTGAGTTTAGTGTTTTTCACCCTAAGAAACACTGATGCACTAATCAATAACAATAATCCATAGCTCCTCTCTGCTCTAGCGGAGCTCAGGAAGCACCCCCAGATCACACAGCTCACTGAGATCCATCTTTAGGCTCAACAGCCCTGTCCCCCCATAATGCTGAACCTGAACCAGCTTTTTTCCCAACTGAAGGAGGTGAGCAGCATTGTGTTGAATGACATGCCACTTAACATATCTGAAAGGAGACTGGAATACAACATATATATATATATCAAAACGAAAAAGCTAACATATCATTTCAATTATACATTTCAAACAAAGTATTTTTCCACATATTTAAGTTATCTTTATTTGGCTTTATGCATTCATGTTGAGAATGTTCCATTCAAAAATGTTATTATTAAAAAGGCATTTACACCATAAAAGATGACTATTGAGATCTATTGTCAGGAATGTTAGTATTATATCAAATAGTGAATTATACTGCAGCAGTATGTTGCACGTCTGCACAGTGTTATATTTTCACAGCTCAGTGTCAGTAAATTGAGTATTTGAATACAAGATAGATACAAGCCTGTAAAGGTAGAGTTATTTAAAGCATAAATGAGTCGGTTGGGTTCTGGGGGTGTGGTTACAGCAATTGTGCTTGGTTGGCGTGGCCTGGGCCTGGTGGTGGGGCCCAATGTGATATATTTTCATGGGGCCCAAAATCCCTGGCGGCGCCCCTGGTTGTGTGAGTGTATGGCCAGAGGGCAGGACCTTTAAACACATGTCCTACCCAATAGCATTGTGAGGAACTTTTGACTATGTAAATGACAAGACTGAACTGCTTTTCCTTCCAGGAAAAGATTGTCCCACTCTTGACCTGACTATCAACATCGGCACCTCTGTTGTTTCCCCGACTCAGACTGCAAGGAATCTGGGTGTGATCCTAGATAACAACCTGTCCTTCACTGCAAACATTGCTGCTACAACCCTCTGCTGCAGATACACACTTTACAACATCAGGAGGATACATCCCCAGCTGACCCAGAAAGCCACGCAGGTTCTGGTCCAGGCTCTCGTCACCTCACGCCTAGACTACTGCAATTCCCTCCTGGCTGGTCTACCTGCATGTGCCATCCGACCTCTGCAGCTCATCCAGAATGCAGCGGCTCGTCTGGTCTTCAACCTTCCTACATTTTCCCACACCACTCCGCTCCTCAGCTCACTTCACTGGCTTCCGGTAACTGCTAGAATCCACTTCAAGACACTGGTACTTGCGTACCATGCTGCGAATGGATCTGGCCCTTCCTACATCCAGGACATGGTTAAACTGTACACCCCAGCGCGTGCACTACGCTCTGCATCAGCCAAACGACTCGCTGCACCCTCGCTGCGAGGGGGATCCAAGTTCCCATCAGCAAAAACACGTGGGTTTGCTGTCCTGGCTCCAAAATG